ACATTCACCCCCAGGCGCTGCCCACTCGAGCCTCGTTCCTACTTCAGGGTTACAAACTTGGGAAACAGAAAGCACGATCGCCATTGGCGTCTATTCACCCCAAAAGAAAGATCAACAACAACCCCGCAAGCTCAAGGTCTCCCCCGTTGAACGAGGGACGGCCGCCGACAGGGCTGGGTGCCGTCGCCGGTGATGAAAAGCCAGAGACGCCGTGCGGCGGCAGCGGTCCCGGCTTTCATCGGGGCAGCTGTCTGCGAGGTGCGTCCCGCGGTGGCCTTGCGAACGCGAGTCAAAGGGCGCTCTCCGGGAGCGCCTTTCAACGCCGCGGGTTGCCCGCGTGTCCGCGCTCCCGCGAGGGGGCCGGGTGGGGGGCGGGTGGCGAGGGGGAGGGGGGGCACTTCCCACGGGCCGCAGGCTGCGTGGAAAATTCGCAGTGGCGCAGTAGCGCGCCCCCCACGCCCCCCCTGCACGTGAATAATCGCCGAGGCAATGGAGAAATCTGGAGCTACCGCTTGGAGGGAATATTGAGCCAGATGTAACAGAAATATTTTCCATGAGATTTTTGGGTGGGGGGAGGTTATTCGAAAGATGTATTCCCCACGTTGTCACTCACTACATTGGGCTGTAATTGAAAAAAAACTCATATGATACCGACATTTTGCTCTGGGCTTGGCAGGCTCAGCGGGGACGGAGGGATGTCAAACAGGTGATGACAGCGCGATGACAGAATGGGAATGCCACAACAGCAGCGGCGACAGCAGTGACCCCACGCTTAGGGTGGTTACCTCGCAGTACATTGCGTCTTTTGCTGTAACTGATCTACAGACGGTCCATTCCAAGTGAACGACTACAATAACAACAAAATGTAAATGTGAACAATTATGCACAGTTAATTAAAGTAATCATGGAAATAAAATAAAATAATAAATCACGACGTTTCGGATGCAACGCAAGTCTCCGTCATCAGGTGGGACCGTCACAGCTAAAATTACTGCATCAATTTATTTTATTTCCATTATTACTTTTATTAACTTTTAATATTACTTTTTTACCTACGTGACTTTACCAAAAAAACGTAAGAGTATGAATCCTTGTAGTCACGAAAGCTTCAAATCTAGAATTATGCACAGCCCCCTTGATCAATCCACCACTTGGTCCATGAGCAGCCCAGGCCAGAAACCACACCTGGCGGTTACACCTGAAGGTGGCATCACTTTGGCGGCTCCAATTTCTTTACGTGGCCAATGACAGTGAATTTACGTGATAATCGTCTGACGTGAGTTCGGTTATCACGTGATGATTCGCTCTCATTGGCCGTGTACATAAAATCTGAGCCCGTCAAGTTTCTGCGACCTTGGGTGGCACCGATTTCCGTCGTGGCCTGTGGACTCGGTGGATGAAGATGCCATGGGAGAGATCTCGGTGGGGGTTGTTTGACTACACCACACCGGTCAGTGCGGCGAGATGAAGTGGAACCCTGGACCACCAGTCAACCCCAGATGGTATGAGTTTAATAATAATAACAAATGGGAACAATGAAATTAAACACATTTTACATGGGGAACCGGGAAGAGAAGAAGACATAACAGGGAATGGCTTGTCGACATTAGAGATGTGGTGCTTGAAAGACGTGGCACTACTTGACCATATTGGCACAAAGCAGAGAAAAGTGGAAACAAATGACGAAATGTGCAGTGGCTACCCACGGGCTATCTACCTATGGATTGTGATGATGATGAAATCTGGATACTCGGTACGGTTATGATTGTGACAAATTAAAATCTTTTCCAGCCAAGTTGCTCAACGGTAAAGCGAGGTTGCCAGTTCAAATCGTGGTTGAAGGTTAACTCAGCCCTCTCAACACAGAGCCCCCCTTACTCTCCCACTTCCCCTGTTGTAGGAATGTGTAATTTCCACCCCTGGCTCAGGGTCGAGCCCTTTGCTTGAGTTTCTCGCGGTTTCAGCCGCCCATCCTGACCGCCACTCTCGCTGCTGCCCTTGCTCAGCAGCGATCGGCCACGTGCCGCCTGATCAATTGGACAGACGTTCAGGTGTTTGATGTTCAGGTGTTTGATCATCTTCCCGGGCGGAGTGGCTGTGCGCGCTCGCTCAGCTGGTGAGCTCGTTGGTCAGTGGGCGTTTGCGCCATCAACATGCAGGCGAGCGGGCGGGCGGGTGCTGAAGCTCCCAGACTTGACAAAGTCCGGGAGCCATGAGGCCAAGGCCGATGTCAAGGCCCTGTCGCGGCGTGTGACGTCACACAACGTTAGCGGAGGCGAGCTCATGACGTGTGACATCATCGCCTCGGTCGACAAGGCTTACGTGCTAAGTGATGGGTTTTTTCGTACGTTTTGGGCAACAGTTGGATAAACTGGGCCAGCTTTCTCGAGGAAAGGTCCCTAAATAGCAACACAACTGTACACTGACGTATCGTGCATCCTGGATCATCTTTACGAGAGTTATCTGGACCGCCCTCTCATACGGAGAGAGCTCGTACATGACCTCTCGTAACTCTGATTACACATGACCATTGGGAATCATCCAAGCCCTCAAAATCCTCAGACTGAAGCCAGAGCCCAGACGCCAAATTAAGGATTTTTTAAAAGTCAAAAGTTATTTCCTGCTCAAATAAGCATTGAGGTGGTGCTGAGAACGTGTTGAGATTTCCACATTCCAATGGCAGGGGTGAGCCTCTCCACAGGACAACCACTGCTGAATTGAGTCAATGCCCAACCAGGATTTGAACTCGCAACCTTTCCTTATTGCGAACCTGCTCGCGCTCAGGTGCTGAGGCACCGGCCCGGGATGAGGTGACGGACGATGGCCTAGAGCACGATAGAGTGTTCTAGGCCGGCCTAGGGGCTGAGGGCCAGGCTCTAGGGCCCAATACTGAAGGCAGCTCTGCATTGTGTGTGGGGCATTGACCCCTGCAGCAGGGCCCAGCTCTCTCCCCGAGTGCTCACCGCGTCTGGCGAGGCTGCTTAGGCCCGTGCAGATCAATATTGATCTCTATCCCGCGCACAGCACCCAAAGTGCATTCCCATTAGGCGTCGGTCTGGTTCGAAACTAATTTCAATTTCGCAGTCGTGAGTATAAACATTATCTTTTAATATTCGGGCGAAATTATCCGGGCCCTTACCGCGATGTTTGCGCGGGCATGTGAAGGTGGGAGTCACATTGGTTTGAAAAATCTGCCGGTCACGTTGGGTTAAGAGGGTGTCATTAAGCTGAACGGCAGATGTGAAATGTCTCTCTCGACCTATCTGTTTTGGAATGTGTTGCAGCTGGAAAGTCTGTCTGGATCGTAAAAGCAGTGGAAGACACTGCCGACGTGACGATGTTGCTGAACGACTCGTGCCTAATTTCTTTCCAAATAATTTAGCATTTTCTCATCGCCGTGGACGGTTCCTCAGGCTTCGTCATTCACGGTGCACGCTCGCAACGCACAGAACCGCGGACAGCGACCACTGCCACTGCTGAGCGCGAGTCTCCGAGTAATTGGGTTACGAGGCAAGGGGGTAATTCGTGGATTTTTTTTCCCACCAAAAAAAATGTTAGACTCGCTTTGCCGCTTGTTAATCATTTCCATCCTAAAATGTTTTAAATAACGAGCAGGCAATTCCACGTGCAGTGACCACCAATTTCAATCTCGTTGGCGATAAAGTTTTCTCAACAAATCCTGTTAGCCGCCAGGACTGCACGCCATCCCTCTTCTTGGCAGTAATGCGACGTGACGAATGTTGTTTTATGCCCCTGTCGGGTTGGCATTGCGCGCGGAGAAGAGCGAATGCTTAAGGAGCTTTTGCTTCGCGTCATTTTGATAGAACCCCCCTCCCCCCCCCGAGTGACCACTACCCGTTTAGGTTGAAGCAGAGATCGACATCGCACGGCACGGCCACCCTGCACCGCCACCCCCCCCCCCACCTCTCCGTTTCTGAAACGTCTTCCATTCGCTGCAGTCGTGAACGACAAGAGTCACTAACGCGTGGTTCTCGTGTTATGCGCGATGTTGGAGAAGGTGCTAAGCAGGTCAGCAGATCACAGTTTTCTGCGGGGGGGGGGGGGGGGCATGGTGCCAGTCGTGGTGTGTGCTGTTGCCTGGCAACCAGAGGTTCGTGGCCCGAGCAGCAATGCCCGGGTCACGCAGCCGAGCGAGCGGCGCACGTGCGCGGCGCCGCGCGTGCCGCGTGTTGCAAAGGGTTCGCGGTTCCGGTCAGAGTGGCCGCCCTGGTAAATTCTCTGGGTGTATTAACCATGAATACGCACCGCTTGCTCCGCAGCGGACGTTTAAGTTCCCCGTAAAATATTTCGATACAGCGTGCTCCGTTGTGTGCCAGTGTTACGATTGTAATTTGCAATAAAAAAAAATACTTGCAATTTTTTTTTTTTTAAACTGCATGGCTGGCGGACCATACCCGTCTGTGAAAATACGCGGCCTTCCGTCATGAGAGCCTTTCTTGCGCTACAAGAACGACACGAATGCCAAACGTACTAATGGTTATTTTTATTATTATTACCACCATCAAAGTTCTCGGTGGTGAGGCTCACGTTAGAAACGAGGGCAGCAGCATCGGGTCTCGGGTGTCATCTTACAAGGCGCTCACCACTCGGCTCGTTGCCTTTATCTACTCACCCAATCACCCGTTCTCTCGCTCTCTCTCTCACCGTGTGCAACTTCATTATATAATTGTAGCTGCCTACGATCGGTCCGTATGTATGTTGATGTTTGTACAGTATGCCGAACTTTTTTCGCACCGTACGTAACCAATGGTGCTAATCGGCGGTGCGGGGGAAGGACAACAAACTTCATTTCTCACCCGACACATTTTTGTTTTTGCCCTGATTTGTTTTCCTTCACCGCTTCGCCGCTTTCGTCAGGCTGGTGACCCGGCTCAACTCTGTTGTTCAAGTGAGCCATATTTTTGTTTCACTGCTCCCTCGAGTGCTCAGCCGGCCAACCAAATTAAATCGAAACTCATGCGATTGTCTCCTTCCGGCAGCAGGCGCGTGGACTGACGGCGCCATGGCCCAGCCGCCGTTGGGGCCGCAGGAAACCCGGCTGCTGGCGCCGGCCGTGTTGACGCTGCTGGCGCTGCTGCTGCACCAAGCGCCTGCGCTCTGCCCCCGCCGCTGCGTCTGTCAGAACCTGTCGCCTTCCATGGCCACGCTGTGCGCCAAGAAGGGGCTCCTGGCCGTGCCGGCCACGGTGGACCGACGCACCGTGGAGCTTCGCCTCGCCGACAACTACATCACGCGCCTGCGCCGACAGGACCTGGCCAACATGAGCGGCATGGTGGACCTGACGCTGTCGCGCAACGCCCTCGAGGAGGTCGAGGCCGGATCGTTCGCCGACCTGCGCGTGCTACGCTCGCTCTACCTGGACGGGAACCGGCTGACGAACATCAGCGCGGACACCTTGCGCGGCCTCGCCAGTCTCCGCCTCCTCACCGTGAGCTTCAACCAGCTGGATCACATCGCCGAGGGCGCCTTCGACGACTTCCTGCTCTCCATGGAGGACCTGGACCTCTCCTACAACAGCCTCGAGAAGGTGCCGTGGGAGGCCATCCAGCGCATGACCAACCTGCACGCCCTGGGCCTCGACCACAACCTGCTGGAGCGCGTGGTGGCGGGGTCGTTCGCGCACCTCTACAAGCTCGCGCGCCTCGACCTCAGCTCCAACCGCCTGCGCACGGTGGCGCCCGACCCGCTGTTCTCGAGGGCGCAGGGCGCCGGCGGGGGCCTGCTGGCCGTCAGCCTCGCCGGCAACCCGCTGCACTGCAACTGCGAGCTGCTGTGGCTGCGGCGGCAGGAGAGGCAGGACCTGCTGGAGACCTGCTCGTCGCCCGCGCACCTCTCGGGCCGCGCCTTCTGGGCCGTGGGCGAGGACGAGTTCGCGTGCGAGCCGCCGCTCATCACGCACCACACGCCGCGCCTCGTCGTGCTGGAGGGCCAGCGGGCCACGCTGCGCTGCCGCGCCGTCGGCGACCCCGAGCCGCGCGTCCACTGGCTGGCGCCCGGCGGCCGCGTCGTGGGCGCCTCGGGCCGCGCCGTCGTGCACGCCAACGGCACGCTGGAGATACTGTCGGCGTCGCCCAGGGAGGACGGCACCTTCACCTGCTTCGCCTCGAACGCCGCCGGCGAGGCCATCGCCAACGTGGAGCTCAGCATCATTCACCTGCCGCGGCCGCCGAACGAGACCGGGTGGGCGCGCGAGCCCGACCCGGGCTCGTCCGACATCGCGACGCCGAACCGGCCCTCGTCGTCCACGGGGCCCGGCACCAACGCGAGCGAGAGCAAGGCGCACCACAAGCGGCGCGTGGCCGCCGTCGACGTGGCGGCCACCTCGGCGCTGGTGCGCTGGACGGCGTGGAAGGGGATGCGCGGCGTGCGCATGTACCAGGTGCAGTACAACGGCAGCGCCGACGACTCCTACGTGTACAGGCAAGCCCCGGCGCGCGTGCAGCACACACGGGCCGTTTGTGTGTTCATTCACTCGCGCAAATTCACTCGCCACGTGTTTCATTCGTTGTGACAAGTCATTCTTGTTTTTGCTTCTTTTCTGCACGCATTGGGTTCATTCGTTATTTAATGAATTCATTGGTGCAGTCGTTGTTTCGACATGCATTGCTTCCCGTGGGTTGCAAACTCTTTCTGGTGCGTTCATTCTGCACGCCATCCGCCTCCGCACAAGTCCAGGTTCGATTCTAGCGCTTCAGTTTCCTCCGTCGCTTGCCCATCTTCGCTTCCTCTCTCTGCCACCCTCAGTTATCGCCTCCTCGCCCCGCCTTCATGCCTCTTCCCACACTCAAGACGTAAGGCCGACATTTCGACGCAGTTGCACATCCGATCGTACCCTGCTGCGTTGATCGCGTGATTTCGGAAGAGGACGTCTCTGTAAATGGCATCGGGCTAACGAGTGCCTTAAACAAAATATCAGCAGTGTTTTTTTGCTTCTTACAAATGTGCCAACACATAAGCCCGATCTCGCATTCCCTGGGAGGTGTCTGCGGTTCCGGTATTTTCAAACTCTGGCAGCCGTGGGGTCTTTGCCACCGCTAGTATCGCGAACGGCGTGCGGGTGTGTGGCAGCATCCACACACGCGCACACTCATCCACGTGCCGGTCTTGCTCCACGTTGCGGTTGTAGGTGAAGAAGATGTTGCTCATATTTCTTTCTTTCCTGTAACGGGCTCATTCAAATGTCGCCTTTTTTTTTCTTCTCTAGCCCCGCGTGCATGCGTGCGTGCACGCGCGCCCGTGTGTGATTTTAAAGGTGCGTGGGATTCATACTCTTGGGTTTTTTCGGTAAAGTCACGTAGGTAAAAATTTAAATTAAAATAAAATAAAAAATAAAAATCACGGCGTTTCGGAGGCAACACAAGCCTGCGTCTTCAGGTGGTGTTGCCTCCGACACGTCGTGATTTTATTTTTAATTTTTACCTACGTGACTTTACCGAAAAAACCCAAGAACATGAATCCTTGCAGTCACGAAAGCTTCAAATCTGCAAGTGCGTGGGATTGTGCCTTTGTGCTCGCAGTGAGTGGCCCGTGGCCCGGCAGCGCGTCCGCGGCGCTGTGTTTTGTTAATTCCTGGCGCCTTTCTTGCGCGGTGACATTTTCATAACGCCGAGCCCGGAGAACGTGACCCCTTTCCCTTGCGAGCCACCATGAAAATAACAAGCCCTCAATGAGCGTTACACCTCCCCTTCCCACCCCATCCCACAATGTCTGTCTGTGTATGTATATATGTGCGGTGCAATAATAGCTAAACAGGGAGAGAAATGGAAGAAAAGAATGTGGCATCAACGCGCTGCAAATTGACCGCTTAAAATACCACCAAAATCGTCCGAGGATTTGGTCGTGGAGATGAGGTGGATGATACAACAAACTGACACCTTTTTTTACAAGGAGTCATGTTTGCATAGACCACAATACCTGCAGTCATAATGCAAACAAAAAACATAACTCTGATAATGTGCACTGTCCTTGAAGTTGATTGGTCCACACCCGAGACAGCTTTCCTAAGAGCCTAGTCTCACATGGGTTGGACCAGATGACGCCAGAGCTGTGCTTCTACGCGCCTTTTGGCGTCATCTGGTCCAACCCATGTGAGACTAAGCTCTAAGGAAAGCTGTCTCGGGTGTAGGACCAATCAACTTCAAGGACAGTGCACATTATCAGAGTTATGTTTTTTGTTTGCATTATGACTGCAGGTATTGTGGTCTGTGCAAACATGACTCCTTGTAAAAAAAGGTGTCACTTTTGTTGCCAGATAGAAGGGTAAAAAAACAATTATTATATTTTTACTGGCAAATGAGGTTCCAATGATGAGGTGGATGTTTTGGTGGCTGCTGCTGCTGCTGGTGCTGTTGAAAAGCAGACGAGCGGGCCGCGAGGATGCAGGCGCTCTTCACGTCTGTGTAACTCGGCTTTATTAATAATGCAGAGCTGTGCTTCTACCACATTATTGCGCGCACGCTCGGTACCGTTTTTCATCTCCGCGTGGGGCCTGTGTCTCCTGTAATGCAATGCGCCTGTCCCTTTCTGTTGTTGTTGTTGCTGTGTTGACGGGAAGTGGAGGGTTACGTGGTGCATATGGCAGATAGCTGGATGCTGTTCCAGGTGGCCTGTGCGGGAATGCGAGATGTATTTTTTAAATTGCATCGCACGCCCTCGGAATGCGAATTAATGCAGAGCGTGCAGCGCGTGCTTGGGTGCCGCAAAGTGGGAGGGAATTTGCAAAACGCAGTGACGGAGAGGGACGCTTAATTAATTATACTAATTACCTGAGGCTGGCCTGCAGGGCTATCTGTCTTTTCTGTCTGTCAGCCTGTCCGCTTGTCAGTTTTAAAAAATGAACGTTCGGAGAAATAACAACATCACCCGTTTCCCTGCCCGCCACAGGGCCGTGAAGCAGATGTACAAGAGGGTGATTAAGAATTCTTTGCAATGAGCTGAAATGAATTAGAATTAACACAATTGATGTCCCTTATTTATGCCACATCTTAACTCCGGCAATTCATTTTCACTACTTCAACGCACCACCGTGGTTTTTGCTGACCTGATAGTCTGCAATTTTCATGGTCCTCCGCATCGGTCTAATGAAACCAGACAGCATAATGTGGCTTCTCTCAACATAATGACGTTAGCGAGAGTGCGGTCGGTGGATGAAAAAAAAGCCCCCACGCAAGGAACTTGCAGGAAATTCATCCACCGGAATTGTTGCATTAAAAAAAAATTCAGTGAAGCGACAATCGCCTGCGTTGTTTGTGCTGCACAGAAATGGGACTTACTTCCCATTTGAAAATAATAGGCAGAGTAAAAAATGGTGAAGTATTGAAGCTGTGCATCGTGAAAGCTGTATTTGCAAATGTCCCCAACGGAGGCCAGCGGCCAAATGAAATGTATCTGAGCGCACGATGGGTGATGATGATTGATAATGATTTACAAATGCAACCCTAAACTGCCGGATATATCCCTAGTCGGGACTCGCGTTAGTGCTGCCCGGACATTCAAAGGATCCACGCCGTAAATAAAACATCGCGCTTTGCATGACAGAAAAGGCCAGAAGAGAGAGAGAAAAAATGTTTGTCTTCTTGCGCGGCCAACACGGGTCTCAGAAATATGGATCGAGCTCGGTGCTTCCTTTGAGCTGTTGCCACCACCATCGACGAAAGCCCCCCCCCCCCCCCACCTGAAATACCTCCACTCTGGAAGATTCATAATCAGCGCGGCAGTGCTTTGAAATGCAAATGCACGGAAGGGCATAATAGTCGGCGCGCTTTCTGGATAGACATATTTTTTGGCAAAGAGGCCTCTAGGGTGCCGAGAGCGGTTTGGAATTGCGGGGAAGGTTTCCGTCTCCCCAGGCAGCCCCGAACACCAAATGCGCGCTATCCCGTGCAACATTACGACGCGAGTAATCGCGACGGCACGACGCTGGAATGCTGATGGCACGGAAAAGCGATGTTTGTGCGCAAACAACAAGCTAACACTGTTTGCCTGTTCACCTCTTTTGTCTTCTTTGCCGCTACTACGAGCATTTATTTCTGATTGGATGACTTATTTAACACTCAACCCAGCGTTCAAAGCGATTGATTGTTTATCCGCAGCTTTATTTTATACACAAGCGACCAAACGCTTTCGGTAAACGTGCGCACGTTTCGCCGGCCCCCGTTTATCTCGCTCGCTATCTCTTCTCGTGAGAAACTTCACTTTAAAAAGCTTCACCTGCGGTAAGTTTAATGGCCTCATACAACTGCCCCACCCCCCCATACGCGCCAACATAACGAGCAATTACAGCCCCGTCATTAATGCAGCAAATAGCTGTTGCCATTCTGCAGCCTAAATGACTCCGCTGATGGGTCGATGGAGACATTCCTGTCAAGAGCAGCGTCGACGACGACGACGATGATGATGATGATGACGCATCAGTTTTGAATACATTGCAGCAAAGTGAATCATTTACAGCTTGATCCGTCGCCACTGACCTCACAATGCCTTATCAATTTGTCAATTAGTTACCAAACATTAAATGTTGCAAATGGGCCTATTATTTTTTCAAAATGATTGAAACGTTCATTGTTGTGACGTCACCTTCCCTATCAATTCACGGAATGACTCTGGACATATTAGCTCGCGCAATCTTCACACGCGCGCCTCTTTGCCCGGCACCACCCTGGGAAGTCGGCGCCGCGGCGATTTGCTGTTTCATTTGCGGTTGCGAAAAAATAGCTCGTTCTGGCCGTTCCCCGTTGAAATAAAAATAGACAACACGGTGGGACTCATCCGGATCATTCGTCACGCTCGGAGCCGATGCCGTTCTCGAGCCATTAAGATCGCGGTGCGGGGAAGCGCTCAGTGGAAGACGAATGGCTCTTGGATTTGCGGGGGGGGGGGGCTATGTCCAGAGCCATCATCACGGAGATGCCGGCACTCTGCAGCGCAGCTACCTTGGGGGGAGCGGTGGGTGGGAGGGAGGGCAATTCTTCATTCTGAGACAATGGCCCCCCGCCCCAGCCATGCCCTTTTATTCTGCGAACCGCCGTAACCACACCTAAACCCGCCCTCTCTCTCTTCCCACCAAGGGGTTCAGAGGTTGAATCCGGCAGGCCGTCCTGGTTAATACTGAAACGGGTTTGACTGGGATTTGGCCAAACATCCCCATTGCTTAAAATGTACCTGTGAATTAGTCGATTGGGATTTCGCGCAGTAACATCGCCACCCTATTGAGAAAACTTGGTAGGAGATGCCTAAAATATAGCCTTGAGGCTCAGTGAGGCTTTGCTGGGCAGACATGTGGAATCACGATAATAACAATGCTGCAGTCGTATTGACAACATCATACTGCTGCCAAGTGGACGATAAATCCCGTGACATCATTTCGTGCAAGCATCCATGGTCCCAACTTGCGAAATTTGAAACATTTACTCGCAAAAATC